ATACATTTTCACATCACTTAAACATCAAATTATTCCCTTTTTGTGCTTCCCCATAGCCACACTCCACTGTACTGTAGCCCAGGCCAAGGCCTTTTAGCGTACTCTTGAGATATTTGCCGCCACTTTTGACACTCGGGAATACATTATAAACATTATCCCCAAAAGCCAGGGTCAAATATCCCCGTTTAGTCAGCAAAAAATATGCGTCTTCGTCTCAAATTGCGTCCAAAATTCGTTTTGAAAACTCTCTCCTTTTCCCGGATGCCGGATGCAATAAAAATCAGCAAAAATACTGAAATTTATTTTTGCAACCACCCGTCGAGAATGAGAATGAGAAAGAGAGAGAGAGATAGAGATTCCCTGGAGGCGAAGCCAGAAACTATTGTGAGAGACATATTGTAATGGGGGATAAGTGTGTGAGAAAATCGATAAGAATAAGGAGGTGGCAATGCAGCAGACTTGCTACAGATTTCTAGATAATGTACCCCAGATCTAGTAGATCCCGTAGATAGGGCGCGTTTTCCGAGACAAGTGAATGGTGGAGAGAAATGCAGGGAGATACATGGCCTTGAGCTAGAGTCCACCCCATGACGCCCATCCTTAATTGGAACCCAGCCCAAAGGCAAAGGACGAATGGCGAGGCCGTGACCCTTGCAAGGAAATCATCTCGAATGAGCGAATGGGGGAAAGAAAAACGCAAATGCAATCTCAAAAAAATTAGTCTGGGAAGGACAACAATTCAGGGTGATTCATTCTTGGGGGGTGATAGAATTTCAATCATGGCGGACACGTTAGAAATAGAAGAGGGCGCCCTGACACTGGCACTTTGCCCCACCCAAAAGACAGAAAGAAACCTGCTGTGAAAAGATATATGAGCTTTGAGCTACCGTTTCCCGTGTTCTTTACAGCTCCTTACAGAAGTATGTCCACACCTCTGGACACATAAAAATGGTTTATGGACATACAATACATATTTTTAGCCACTCAACAAGTCGCGGGATAGATACAATGGAAAACCCAGGTAAAAATCCACGAGTATTTATTTCTAATTTGGAGCTAAATTGTTGCTGGCCAATTGCTGAGTGAATGTTTATTCCATTCGCATTCATTTTTTGTGAGTGTTTTCAATGTCATGTGAAAAGTGATCAAATACAAACGAGCGAGGCACGGGGCACGAGTTGTGGGGCATGGCATACAAATTATTTACACAGTGCTCGACAACATTAAACAGCTGCACTTCAGAGGAGCTCCAACTGGCATCGGCTGCGGCAGCGCCATTGAACGGGCTGAACGAGTGGGGAGAGTAGTCGTCTTCGATCTTGAAGTTCAACAGATCTTCGGGCAAGTGCCTGGAGGCTCTAAGATCAGCTGATTGGTGGGGTGTCTTCCCTGCTCTGCTCTATGGGGTCTACTAAAATGATGACAAATTATGAGGGGAAGCGGAAAAATTGTCTGCAAAATGAACTGGAATGTAAAATAAAGTCTGGGGAATGCCTATAAAGAGATACTCTTTAATTTTCATTTATCTTTTACATTCTTATAGATATTCTTACGTCCAAAAATATAAAACATATAATGGATACACGCTACTTTCTAAAGAAAACCTTTCCAAGAGAATTAAGGTGGCTATTGAGGTGTTATTCCCTCTTCTTTCTGTAGTATATCAAAGATTATTATTAAAGATTTGTGTTCCCCACATACAAGTATCTAATCAAGTGATGCCTCTACCATGCCTCATCTTCAATGCGTTGGACCTTGTCTAGGCCAAAAGTAATTTAAAATAACAAAAACACAAAAACTATTTTTAGTTCCCGGCTATACCCACACCACATTAGAGAGAAACAGATAAACACACAGAGAGATAGAGGGAGAGAGGGAGAGGGAGAGAGAGAGAGAGGGAGAGAGAGTCCCCAAGAGACGACCCATTGGGGTGGGTTGGCTGTCCCAAAAAAGAGATTTCCCCTCCCGATAACAAAACGGACGCCACTCAACAAATGTCGAAATAAATGCTTAAAAAAACACAACAATTTTTATTTATCCGTGCCTCAAGTTTTTAGCTCTTTTTTTATTTTTTTTGCATATGCAAAGCGGTCGAGCGGTCTTAATGGAATTTAAGAGACGGCCGGCGCATGCTTTAAATTTAATTAAAGTGAAAAGCAGCGAAAAATCCAAAGAAAGTTTTGTGCTCGAGTGGCGACTGCAGGCGGCCGGACACGCATTTGACCCGCTTAGCCGCACCCCCCGCCCACTGAGGGGAGTCTATGATTTTTGCATTATAAATATATATTATAATATTATGATGGTTTTTAATACGACCGCGCTTCGCTTTCCAGGCACAGACCAACAAAATTCAATTAAACCGAAAAAAAATTTCTGGTTACACTTTCCTTTTGGGGGCGCGACGAAAGAGGAGGCGTGGGAGGGGTAGAGACTGGGGTTTGGGCCAAGTGGAATATCGAGTATTTCGTGTGCAAATCACTTATGCAAATGTCGGGGGGAAACAGTTATGGGCATATATTACGCGCTCCCCTGGCTACCGACTTTTTCGCCATGATTCGAACAATGATTCGTTATTGAGTCTGAAAGAAAAAGATACGATATATGTTTGGTAGAAGGTGTAGGGGAGATACATTTGTACATATGTACATAGGGGCAGGGAGAAACTGGTTTTCTATAACCCACATCATGAATCATATAACCAAAAAGCGTTAAGCAAAACCAAAAGCCTAAAGAAATGGTTAAGAAATAAACAAAAAATAAAAAAAAACAATGCGGAATTAGTTACAAAAGCAGATTTAAGAAATAAATCTGCATAATTTCTAATGAATATTATTTTTAATTTGAAGATTAATTGTATGCCTAGAAACTAGTTTTATTACATTATTTGAAACCAAAGAAGAAATGGTTAAAAAGTTAACAAAAATCTTTATATATTTTTCGGGGAATATGAGCAGAGCTTTTGTGAATTTCTTGGGAAACTCGTTTTATTTTTCTGGTAAATTCTAAATATTAACAAATCAATTTTGCAATAAATTTAGAATGAAATCTAGTGAAATGAACTTGTTTTTCTTTAATTTTATTCTTTCATTTATTTATTTATTTCACAGGTTTTATAAACCACCACTGGATTTCTTGGTTTCTTTTGGTAGCCCTTTGCTGCTCCTCCTTTTATTGGTTCTCTCCTGCTCTGCCCTGGTCAGGCCCTAGGATCCGTATGCAAATACTCCAGCAAACACTTGGGTAAGCTGCGCTAAGCGGAAAACTAGCAGCAGACAGGCAGTTGACACTACCGCCCAAAAGCCAAAAAATCCCAACCAAAAAAACGTAGTAGCAAAAAGACGAAAATAAGAGGAAAACTGCTTAACAAATAGATTGCAAAATGCTGTCTAGACGTGCAATTTCGGGTCCCTGGCAACATGGTGGAGGCTCCTGTGGGCAGAGGCGGCTTTTGCTGCTGCGGCAGCACATTTTCCAGAGTTGCACAAACACCAATACACACATACACATACACAGATACCTTTTGAGGGTGTGCTGCGCCGGCTGCTGGTGCTGCCCTGCTTGTCCTCCTCCTCCTCCACCTAATGCCATCCAGGGGCGGAGTGCACACAAAACTACCCCCGAAAAAAAACGTATATAAAATCCATCGATATCCGGAATCTCGAATTGAATTGAAATTTCAGCAAAAACTAAATCGAGCAACGGTGAGGGGGAGAGGGCAAGAGAGGAAGTGGAGTAAATAGCAGCTGAGCATTGCGAAAAAGTTTTTTGTGTAAGTAAAATAGAGTTAAAAGGTAAGCTTTTAGACTGGGCGTGTCAACGCCCCAACAAAAAACAGAAAACGATTAAAAACAGCTGTTTAAGCGAATGTCTAACCAAAGAAAGAGACGGCGAAATAGAGAGACAGACAGACAGAGAGCAAAAGGAAGAGAAGAAAAAAACTGTTAAATATAATAACAATAATGTGGAGCCGGTACTTGGAATCGAATAAGTGGAATGGTGTTTTGGGGTCCCTCTGCTATCCTCTCCCGAGTAGAACACAACACACTGCAAAAGCAAAACAACAACGATATCCGAGAAATAACGCTCTGGGGAGCGCACGCATGGAACCGCCGCCGCTCATATGGCAGCAATTTACATAAAACCCGCAAAACCAGTTTTTTTTCTTCATTAAGTTTCAAGTTCCAACGCAGACAGAGATGGAGAGAGAGGTAGAGCCGTTGAGAGAGTGAGAGAGGGAGACACATTATGAACGCTAAGTTCTTGAGACATTTGCTGCACTTTGGCTCGAGCTTTGCTTTGAGATGATTTCTTGGTTTGTAAAAGCTGATAAGAGAAAGAAATGGAATGGGTAAGTGGAAGGATTAAACAGTTGTTTTCGGGAATTCCAGAAATTCAATGAGAGAGGCATTTGGTTTGTAATCTGCAAAAGCCTGAGAAGCCCTCAAACTTGAAAGTTCCATTAATCCAATTGGAAAGGGATTTTCTCTCTTCTTTTACATTGACAAACATATTTTTCGACCGATCCCGAAAGTGTTCCCCATCTGCAACTATTGCTCTCTCACACTCTCCTTTGTCTTTTGCTAAGCTTTGCATTCCATAGTCGAACAAGAATTCCTTATCAGCAAAAACACTCCACTCCTTCCCACACAATGCAAAATTCATTCAATAACTGTTTACCTAAAGAGTTCCAATAATTCATTATTTGAGACTTGCATTTGGGTCTCGACTTTTCTGTTATTTCTTTGAAGAACCGCTAAACTTGATAAGAATTATAGCCAAATCTACAGTTTTTGGGTTCTCACAGAAATAGCTTCCCTCACAGAAAGAATTCCCCTCACAATGGAACAATAACAACAACAAAAGCACTCACTCATATAAAGCTTAACGGGAAGGATTTCACTACTGCTTATCTTGAGAGTTCCATAATCCAATCAGACAGTTCTCCCTAGAAGAACTGCAACCCACTCTAACTCTAATCAACAAAAGAGACAAAAACTTACCCATAGCTCTGTGCCCCAACTCATGTTGTTGGAGTTTTCCGCTGCTGCGTTTTCCGATTCAGCCAGTTTGTTGTTGCTGCTGTGCCTACTGCTTGAATTGCTTGCCACTGTAGTAGGAATAATCCACAAAAAAATACAAAGATAATGTAATCCAAAAGAAGCGCACGAAACGAAAGAGTGGAGAGGAAGAAGAGTAAAATATGAGAAACGTTGTTTTTGTTGTCGCTGGCGTTTGTTTGTATGTATTTCCCGCAAAGGTTAATTAATTTTTGTGTTTGTTTCAACGTTGCGCGTTCTATGAGAGAGAGCATTAATTCCCCCTCGATAAACGCGGAGACGCGGCAGACGAATTTGGTGGTTAAACAGGTAAAACGTACGACCAACAACAACAAAAAAACAAGAAACAAGAAAGAATGTTGCAGCAGACGACGTGTCAATGCAGCGCAGCCGGCAGAGGGGCAGCGGCGCAGTGTAGGGCAGGTAGCTGCAGCAGGAGGAATGTGTGACCGTTTTTCTGGATAGCGCCAATAATCGAGAGGAAAATAATTCAAAACAAAACCGAAGGGAAAATGCACTGGCATTCGCGCTGCACCGGCGCACTGTAGTGAGAGAGAGAGAGAGACAGCATGGGTTGCATTGCAAGAGAGAGTGCGAGTGCAATTGGAATTTTGAATTAGTTTTTCTTTCTATTGTTTTCGAATTTTACATAATTTGGCACGCACACTTCGTGCTCTCTCTTTCTGTCTCTCCCTCCCACGCACTCTTTAGGCAGGCGTTTTTCTTTTGCAACTCGTTTTGCCCGATTTGTTGCACAATTTCTCAGATCTTTCTTCAATATGCGGCTTGCACTTTTAATAGCATGCGTCATAATTCCGTGCGACATTTGCACACACAAAAACACACACACTCGCACACACAAAACACTGCACAGTGGCACAACGGCAGAAATTTGTTTCTCTTTTTTTCTCGCGTTCTTTTTACCTTTGGCCAAAAACGCCCGAACGAAGGGCCGGATCCAAAGAAATTGCTCAAAAACTGCTCTGTATGTACTTGGTTATTTATTTCTATTTACTTTATTCGACAACGACGCGCGCACCAACCCGCTCGGTTCAAGTTTCTTTTTTTTTTAAACCAAACAACAAATTTGTACACCAGTGCTGCCACTTTAGCTTCTTTCAGGCTAGATTTACTTATTTTATTTAGTCTTAGCTAAATTCCTAGCATAGTTATTTTCGGTTTTAGCCATTTTGAATCTTAAATCCTGGCGGCCTATACATATTAAAAACATATTATCACCTAAATACAGAAATTGGTTGAACCATAAATTACATATTAAAGTTTTTTTCTAAAAATGTTCAGCTTTTTTCTGGTGAAAAGCTACAGCACTGCTCTTGTTCAAATTTCCACTCTAGACTCATTTTTGCGTTTTAATTATGAGCCCAAAAATAACCAGAAATATACCATAATATACCTTCTGGTAACTACACATTTTCTACATATCGACTACATATTGTTTAAAAACGGAAAAACGTAAACATTATATGAAACGGAAAATGAAATATTGCGTCATTTGACCATTTGTTGCTTGTCAACAGCAGCATTAAATATTTACACAAATATGTATTTATTCATATTCTTAATTTTTGTAGGGTCACACTTAACTATCGAAATGTGATTTAGTATTTACGTTTTCCAGCACTATCAGCCGGTGGATCAAAATCAACAAATATAATTTATTAAAAATTGGATAATTGGTTTTATATCAATTAAAAGCCTGAACAAATCTTCCATAAAGAAAGCAATACACAGCTGAACCCCGCCACAATGCCTTCCTACGAGCTAGCCCTGGTGTTGCGTCAATTGCCTCGCGTAAGTCACATTTGAGATTTCCACAGTGTTACATAAAAGTAAATATTGCATTAATAACCAATTTAAATGACAGCCCGAATTGATATCCGTGATACGCCGTACCGCCGAAGCCATATTGGACAAGGGAGGCATCATCCGGAAGCTGGAGAATCTGGGCACACGGGCGCTGCCACACAAAGTCAGCGAGCACGGGGTGGTGCATCGCGTGGGCACTCACTTCACCATCGCCTTCGACACGGCGCCCACAAAGATCGCGGACCTCAAGGAGGAGTTTGGCCGCGACATTGACATTGTGCGGCGGTACGTCTTCAAGGTGGAGGAGCCGGAGGAGCACAAGTGCACGCTGCACGAGGAAATGCTGCCGCCCGCCTACCGCAAGGACGTCCAGGAGCTGATAGCGACGGCCCAGAGGAAGCAGAAACCCAAATACAACTACAACTCGGGCCTGGACTACTATCCGTTCCAGAAGTAGATCGCATAGGGCCTCCAAGTCGAATAAAATCTGTTAATTATGTATTTAAATTGTGAAATGATTCGTAGATTGTGGCATGTGGCATGTGCCGTTCCCTCCACTGCGGGGACTTCGACGTTCTTACGACATCTTGCCTGCTTATGCTTATCGGGGCATTTTGCACTACGAGTATTTGTCTTTATTTAGTTTATGGCACGCAATCAACGCCACACTTATCAGCAATTGATAAATAAAACCCAATAAACATTGACGATTGGAAGAAACCACGGACAAAGGGGCAGCAGTGCCCCAAGAACCTTCGAATTGTCCGGAACAGACGAACTGAAATGCCGCCCCAAATACGTGCCCTCACGCCCGAGCTGCAGCAGACGGCCAAAGAGCAGCTGCACGAGGTGCCCGAACGCCTCGAAGCGGATCTGGAGGCATTCAAGACATGGATCAATCAGCAGCCTCACCTCAATTCGCGCACAGACGACCAGTTCCTGGTGGCCTTCCTGCGCGGCTGCAAGTACAGCCTGGAGCGGGCCAAGTACAAGCTGGACAAGTACTACACACTGCGCACCAAGTATGCGGAGATCTTCAACGTGACTACCACCAGGAGTCCTAAGTTTCGTGAGATTCATCAAACGGGGTAAGCGACAGCCAGAGAAAACTCTCACCAAGCTAATTCCATTCATATCTGACCCTCACAAACAGGGCGCTAGTCTACCTGCCGACCCCCCTTAACGGCAACGGGCCCCGCATTGCCATCTGGCGTATGGGGCTCTGTCCCGTGGAGAAGTACCACATTCTGGAGTGTATGCAGGTGGCGCAGGCCATGCAGGAGATCGCAATCATGGAGGATGACTACGCCAATATCAATGGCATTGTGTTCATCATGGACATGAAGGGAGCCACAGCGGCGCACATGTTCCAGATGACGCCATCGATGGCCAAGAAGTTTACCGTCTTCTCTGAGGAGGCGCTGCCGCTGCGGGTCAAGGGTCAGCACTTTATCAACACCATCACAGGCTTCGAGCAGGTCTTCAACTTCATGAAGCCAATGATGTCCAAGAAGATGCAGGGCCGCCTATTTGTCCATGGCAGCAAAATGGGACTGCTCACGGATCAGGTTCCACTCCAATATCTGTCCGAAAACTACGGCGGACAGAACGGCGCCATCGATGATCTTGTCGCGGAATGGGAGAAGAAGTTTGACGACTACGAAGAGTTCTTCCAGGCCAACGCCACCTACGGCACGGACGAGAGCCTGCGGCCCGGCAATCCCATCGACTTTGAAGGTCTCTTCGGCATCGAGGGATCCTTCCGGAAGCTGAATGTGGACTAAAGTATTCGGGGGGATTGTCTCTGTTACTCTACGAATTTGTATTATGTAATATGCTCAATATGAACTTGTTGCTATCATCTAAAGACGCAGATCCTTCGCTGCCACTTGGTGGGCGTCGATTCGAACATCTTCCGCCTGTCCAGGGTCTGCTCCAGATAGTTGTCTATCTGCTGCTCCACATCCGAGCGCCACTTGAGCTGCAGGAACAGGGGAAACACTTCGCCAGCTTTCTTGAGTCTCCGCTCCGCCGTTTGGTAGCACTTCCAGGGCTGTGGCTCCACCACGAGCAGCTCTGCCAAATGCGACAGCTTGCGCAGGAATAGTTTGAGGCCTGCGTCATGGTGATTCAGGTGTATCCACATAGTGATGGAGTAGCAACAGATGGCATCGAACTTCTGCCGTCGTTGCTGGCCGTCCAAGTAGCTCAGCACCGTCTCAAAGTCCTGTCCGTCAAGCACATCCACGCACTCGTAGGTTATCTTCTCCGGGCACGTGTTCTCCTGCTTGGCCCGCTCTATCAGCCGCTCATCAATGTCCACGCCCAGAATCTGCACATGACGCTGCAAGCACGCCTCCAGGTAGCCGTGCAGCAGTTGGGTGAAGACGCCGCAGTTGCAACCGACATCCAGCACGAGATAGGGACGCACCTCATCATCCTCTAGGGAAGCTGGCAGCCAGATATCCTTGTCCGGCAGCAGTTTCACCCTCTCGGAGGCCGAATTAAATTGATAGTAATTCATGAAATTGCCATATTGCACGGCCCCAGGATCGTTGTTGCGAATTTCCATGTTTTGGATTGCTTTGTTTCACGTAACAGCTGTTTTGTTGGTCTCAATAGAGATGGTCAACTCATCCAAAGAATATGTACGGTATTCGGTATATCGGTATATAGTATATATGATCAATTTCCAATCAATTTTTTTAAGGTATATTAAAGTTCTTTTCAAATTTCAAAAATTTTAAATTGTTTTCGACTATTTTACCAACTCCTGAGTTGGATGAGTTGACCAACTCTAGACTAAATATACTTTTATATACTCCCGAACAATTTCGGTATTTTTTGTGCGCTAAATGGAGTTTGGCGGTCATTTTGAAAAGTACTTTAATATATATAATGATTGTAACTTGATTATATACATATATTTTTATATACCATATACCTTAAATATACTTTGAACTTGATTTCGACGTCAAAATATCCAGAAAAGTAGATGTAATATAACCTTAAAGTTCCCCTGAGCGGGACTGCTCATATTTCGTTCACTGAGAGCGCGGTGCCAGGGCTGAAGGAAATAAAAATAATCGACTCGATGCAATTATCGGTATCTATAATCGATAGCTGTCCGCGCAAATTCAATTTAAAAGTGAAAATTTTCATACATCATGTTTTTGCATTTATTTACTGCATTCATTACTTATACGTTTCAATGCCCTTCCATGTCAAACTGCTTAAATGGCTCTAACAATTTTCGTACACATACAAATCGATAACATCTTTCGTGGTAAAATTAAATAACACAAATATAAATAAGCAACATAATATACACAATGTTTGGTTTGTTTTTTTTTTTGGTTTTTTCGTTGGCATGTTTGCGGATATTAATTAGCAACAAACATTCCATGTTTGCCCAGGGGCGCATCGCTGGCCGGGGCGGGGAAATTGAATTTAACCCACTAAGGGAACTAGGCAAAATCGCAACAGTCTGTTGTGCCCCCGGCCAGAGGTGTGCCCCTGAGCACGGCCCAAACTTAACATTGTACTTGTACCCTAACCATGACCGACACTTGCCTCTAGCTTACGTTACGTTTCTTATTTTCCCCCCCTACGATTTTAGTTCACTATACTATTTAATTATTTATTTATTATTTGCAACGAACTATTGGAAATGTGTTTGCTTTTTTTGTTTGGGGAATTTTACTGAATTAAATTTTGCCATTCATTCTAGGATTCATTTTATTTTGTGGGCTTTGGTTTAAGGTTTTTTTATTTCTTTACTTGGGTTATTTGGGTTGGGTTTTCCGTTCGAAGCGTGCGAAGAGATTGTATTGAGAAAGGTTTGTTCTGAACTCTTTTCGGCAATGTTTGGCAAATTGTTTAATAATTTCTACTCGATTGTTTGTAAAATACTAAATGCTACTTAATATGGACTTTGAAAAAGGTTTCTTTACTTTACTTTACTTTAATTCAAATTTTTGTTTGTTTGTTTTCGTGTAGAACTTTTAAATATTCTAAACCCGAAAGATTTACATACATACATACGTAGTACGAGTAAGTAGTAGCGCTATGCTATGATTTTGTTGGTTAGCCGGAAACGGAAGTGCTGGCTAACCGTTTTCGTTTCCGTTTCCCTCAAATACGTGAATTGTCGTCACTCGTCTACGATCGGAATTAGAATCGTTTGCTAAACTAGGCGTGGTTTTCATCTACGTATATGTATGCATATAGTAGAGATATATATAAGTCAATCCAATTGAATATACTTAGGCATATATAGTACATATATGTATATACTTTGTTAAGCTCATAAATACACAATACATAATAATCAATCAATCAATCATAATTAGATACCGCTAAAAACTCTTAGATCTAGCCTTACGAACTAGGATATATGAATATGTCTTTCAACGTTTGTCTGAGTGTGTGTGGTGTCTATGGCTGTGTGGTGCTGCTGTAGTTGTGACTGAGAGTGTTGTGGCTGGTGGCTGTGACTGTTGTTGAGTGGAGTGTGTTGGCATTCATTTCATTATGTCACGTATTGCCAAACGGGCCTTCGTAAATATGCAACTATATGGCAAAATAGCAAGTAAGGAAAGAGTGTGTGTTTTCATTCTATTCTGTTCTGTTCTGTTTTATTTCAGACAGACAGAGAGACAGAGAGAAAGATAGAGAGAGATGGCTTCAAGATGCAATTACAACCAATTTTTACTTGCGGGAAATTTTAACGTTTGCTTTAACAGGATATCGGGGGTGGGGTTATTTGGGGATATATATTTGAACGGGGGCATTGGGATTTGAGGTAATGAAAATCTAAATCTAACTCTAGTCATCTGGGTCCAACCCGATTAGCTCAGCTTGCAAACGGCCCTTAGTCTTACAACAAATGGTTAAGCAAAATACTCTCAAAGCGATACGAAATTGCGGCGACATACTGGTCATGATTAGAATTTTCCAAAATGAATTCAATACGCCAATCCAAACGACTGCGAAATTAATAAGAGTACTTTGGATAACATCGCCCGTGACCACCTCATACAGCCTCACTGAGATCCATGGCAGCCAGGACATCCAGAATGCAAAGACTAATGCGAATGACATCATATGACTAGGGTTTGACAAATTTTCAGCCAGAGCAGTTGCATATTCTTTATCGTGTATTGGCTCGCCCGATCTTAATTTACGCATCATTACAAAGATATAGCCGTAGTTGTGTACGATCGATATGAGGCTGGGACCTAAAACTAATATCGCCAATGTGGCACTATATGCCGCCATGTTGCCCCAGTCCAGCATGCAGATGTGCGACAGATTATTCTCAATCGGCTTCGTGTAGCCGAGTATGGGCGGACAGCATAGCAGTCCAGCGGATATCCATGTGAACACCATCCAGCATTGGCAGCTACAGAAAACAAGTGGGTAAACAAAAACAAAAAAACACTACGTGTGATTATCGACAACTTTAAACGGTGCATATTCCAGTGATACGAGTAGAAACTGCAATAGAAAACTTTAAGAGAAAATAACCCAATTACGAGAGAAGAGAGAGAGAGAACGGAGAGAAACCTAAAAATTCTATAGAGGAAACAGGAAAAAGAGTGCTAAATACTTCAGCGGACTGCTGATCCGCTGCAAGGGTATAGAATGGAGCAATTGGTAATCACTTACCGCGTCTTTGTCTGCACTGTCTCATAGCGCAGGGGCTTGCGCACCGCCAGATAGCGATCCACCGAGATCCACATGAATGTGTAGACGGAGACCGCCCAGAGGGTCACCTCCAGGTAGCCCGTGAAGCGGCACAGTATATCCCCGTACATCCATTCGCCCGTAAGCGCGGGATATACGGAGAAGGGCACAACCAGGAGGCCGCATAGCAGATCGGCTATGGCCAGGGACAGCAGATAGTAGTTGATTACCTCTGTGGGACCTGCACGGGACCAATGGGAGATAAATAGATGATGCAAGTCGAGGAGACATTTACTCACCCTTGAAATTGGCATAGGTGGCAATGATGAGGAGATTGGAGAGCACTATCGCCACGCCCAGTATGGAGATGAGCACGGCTTTGGTGAGGGCCTCCACTTTGGAATTATCCTGCAGGTAGCTCATTTCCTGCATTTTTGCCAGCCACAGAGAGTGAAAGTTGCCCTGCTCTTGGTTGTTGCTGTTGTTGTTGTCGTGCTCTCTCCCCCTGCTGCTGTTGCCGTTGCTGCTGCTGCTCCTGCTGCTGCTGATTGTTATGCAAAGGCCAGTGGACGTGACCGTAGCTCACTTCCGGTCATGGCGGCCACCCATATGAAGTCTACTTGTGGGGGAAGGGGAGGCTTTTCTATATGTCTAAGGGTACGCGTATGTGTGTGTCTAAGTGTGTGTGTGTGTGTGTGTGTGTGTGTGTGTGTGTGTTTGGGTCTAAGTGTGAGTGGCGTCCTTTATTGTGCAACCGCCGACGCTTGCACACGCGAAGGTCGTCGCTGTCCTTGTATGCCACTGGGCGCCTTGGAGGTCCAAATTTGTATAAATTTAGGCGCTGGCACCGAGCCAAACACGGCGCCACACGGGCCAACGGGCCAACGGGCCAACGGGCGACGGGTGTATGTAGTTTGATTGTTCTTGTTCTTTGGGGGACTGCCTGCCTCCTGTAGTAGCCGTAACCGTGTGGCTCTGGCTCCTGGCTCTGGTTAAGGTTAAGGATAATGTTCGGCTCGTGTGTGTTTTTATGTGGGGCGTGTCTTACGGGGTGGGGATTTACGGGGATGGCAGAGGAGAGGAGAGGTGTCTCGAAGCTCGTTTTAAAATTGGATTAAAATGTCTCTCGTTTAAAACCTACTAATTGCGTACACAGTTATGTACTGTACTGTACTGTAATGTCTATGTGTGTATGTTTTTTTAACTTGTTCTATTCTGTTTTTCTTTAAGTTTTGTTTTCTTTTTGTATTCACAACTCTTTTTTGTATGGCTCTAACTTGAATCGAAAAGGTTTCAACGAACTTTAAGTTAATTTATGTTTTTGTTTTGTTTGTTGGTAATTAATTTGCTACTAACTTTAAATATCGATTCGATTTACTCGCAATTGGAAGAATAATGATTATTTAGTAGGTATATATATCTTTGTTAATTATTATTATTAATTATTTTATATAATTACGCGCATTGATGTCTGTCTGGCTGTTCGTTCTTTCTTTCTTTCGTTCGTTCTTTCGTATGTTCTTTCTTCTTTAAGTTGCAGTATTTCTTTTTTTGTTTTGGTTTGGTTGACTATAATTTAAGCACAGCACAAATGTTGCTTTTGGTGTTTTTGTAAGGCTTCTTTCTGATGGCTGATGTTGATGTGTGTTTGCTGATCCTGTGTGGCTACATTTACGAGTTAAAATATTTCGTAGTTTTTTTTTGCTTTTTCGCTTTTTGGTTTTTTTCTCTCCGTTCGCTGTTTTGGTTATTTCTTCTGATTATCCTTTTGCTTGTATAAATTCTGGCTGTGGTTTTTCGGGCATCATGCACGTCTCTCGTCCTCTTTTGTCAGTTTAAGCTAATTGTGCGCATCTGAAAGGACAAACGGGAAACAAATTTGAATGCTTGGCAGCTCTATAAATAGTCACCCGTACACCCGTACACCCTATGCCCATTCCTAGAGCTAATCAATAAATTATTACCACATACGAGAGTACGAGTGGCAGCCAATGTGGCAGGCGGCAAAAGCCTTTTAGCTGCACAAACGCTTTACATAAGCGTGCTTATCCTGCGCCTGCCACTTGCCTGCCACCCCCAACCCCCTTTGCTCTCTCTCTCTCTCTTTCTATCGTCCTGCTGCATTGACCCACTTTGGCTGGTGGCACACTTGACACAGTTTGAGAGGCATCGCTGTCACGGCGCCGCTGCTCAAACTGTGTCCGCCTCGGCTCCGCCACCACCACCTCTGACAATGACAGTGTCAAGTGCGGCAGCGGCATCGGCATCGACAAGAACTTCCTACATTTTGGGTGCACACTTGAAAAATAAAAAAATTATATATTCTGCATTTTTCCTTATATATTTTTAGTTACATAAATCCACTTTCAAATGTCTGCTAAAATCTGTCAAAAAAAATAGTAGACAACTTTACAGAAATATATAAAATAAGTTGATTTCTTTTAGGTGACCTTAACTCACAGATTTGTGTGTTAGTTATAGCCTTTCCTTATCCTAATCGATCAGCATCAGTAGCTACGCCCATGCTATCTAAGAATAGTTCTGCCCATCCCGATCTGCCCATCCCCCTACTCCACGTCCAGTGCCCATCAGCATCATTTACGACGTCATCGTGCCATTTTCTACGCAGACACAAACACAAACACCATTATCAAAGGCCATTAGAAATCAGCAGGAGGTGGGCTATGTGGGCAGAGGCGGCTACTGATGCTGATGGCTGCTGCTGATGCAAGGGGAGGCGGAGGTGTGGCATTGTGTGAGGTAACAAGTTTGTCATTTAAGTTGTCTCGTCTGTTCCCCTTACTCCCCCTCTCTCTCTCTCTCTCACTAACTCACTCACTATCACTCTCTCTTTCTTTCTCTTACTCGGAACTTGGTAATTTAATTAACGCTAACGGGGCAACGCTTTGGGTTCGACAGTCAGTCAGCCAACCAGCCAGCCAGCCAACCAGCCGCTGCGTTGGCCAGGTGATAAATATCAATGAATTGCATTAGCTTGGAAAACCAACCAACCCTACCCCCTGCCGTAGCAGAAGGACTGAATTACATAAGCGCCACCTGCAGTCAGGGGAGGGCAACGTCATTTGTGCAAATGACTTCCTGACCCATGAACCCAACTCCAATCAACTCGGCGACGACGTCCGTGCCAGCAATTACAGCGAAATAAGTGTTATTGCCGGGAACTTATCCGGAGCCGGAGCTGTCGCCGTAGTTGTCGATTTGTGTCCACATAATAAGGGTCCCTCGTGTCAAACTTGGACCCATCCGCGTGAGGAATGGGTTCAGCGAACCTTGCCTTGCCACACAGCGAACGAAAGAGGGAAGGAGGCGGAGAGAGAGAGGGTAAAAGGCGAACGCTTTTCTTTCATGCAAAAGGGATAATCAATAGGCACATGCATGTGATTAATTATGTAAATAATTTCATTGCAGAGCGAACGAGAAGGAGTGAGGAGTGTGTGAGGCGACTCTTTGTCGGCTAACAGCCTGATGAGGTTTTGATTGCCACTGGGGCACGGGCACGGGCACGCTGCTCATTATGAGAGTGTGGCATAATTAAAAATAAAATGTTGGCCTGCTTTTCCGGGCTTCAGCCCTTGCCAGCTCCACTCATTTGCCTTAAGGGTCTTTATATCCTCTCGAATTGCGAGAGAAAAAGAATGCCAAACATTTTGTTAAATGAAAGCAATTCATGCTGCAATTATATTCGCAATAAAATAAAAATAATATCTACCGGAGAAAACAAGTAGTGGTGCTGGCATATCGAATCCTTTCCTAATGTACTCCAAATCCCTGAAAATTAAAGTCCTGCTATGACACACTTTCATGGGGCTTCGTTCTGCACCGTTTTACCCGCCTTAGTCAGCAGATAATACAACTCTCTGCTGCCCTACTTTTCCGAAAAAGCACTGAGGGGGGGAGTGGGTTGTGTTTGTGTGTGTTGGCTTGTGCCCATTTTCCACTTTGTGGATTTTTTTTCAGCGAGTGCCCATAAAATATGTATTCCCCATGCGTGTTTATGCCGCCGCACAGCAGACACAAATGTGGCACATTCAATGGCACATCACATCCATCGACTATGACACAGCGTCCTATCGGACGAACCGACGGACGGGTGCCCATAAAATCATATTCAGATGGCAGCCAGGCAGGACAGGTGGTAGGGTGTTAAAAAAGTAGAAGCAGAAACACAGCTTTCAGTTCCTATAAATATACCTTTGGGGGTGGTGGGGAGTCACCTATACACCTGCAGATACATACATATATAAATATATAAATATGTGTATATGTATGTGTGAAACAAATTGCGAAACATCGCAACAAAGGCCAAGGCAAGTGGCAGGCTGAGGAAGGATACTCATTTGATGACGTTGGCTGCCAAATGGGGTTGGGGAATGCGGCAAGGCTGCTGCGGATGGGTGCCACGTCATCATCGTCACCATCCACGTGGCGGTGTCTTTATATAAGCATGACCTCACCTTGGCGTCAGCACAGAGACCTATGCCTGGCTCTGGCTCTGGTTCTGGCTGTGTGCCTCTTCTGCTCTACTGCTTTTTCTTCCGTTTAATTTATAGTGTTTACTTGTTTCGCTCAGTGCATCCTGCTCAATGCATAATTTATGCTTACGCATGTCAAATGTCGCATATGGCAGAATATTTTCGGCCTTGCTGGGGTGAGGTTGGTGGGTGGCGCTGCCAGGAGACCTGTCAGCAGCTCCTGTCACTCGGTGGCTTAAGAACTTTGCGCCAGTTGCAGCCAGCCTGTTGATTTTCCATTTCTACCCACCCCCAACCACCGAAAATGAAATGAAAAACTTTTTTTGGCCACAAACTTTTTGTCAGAGCAAAAGCCTGGAGGCAAAACTGCAATTAGATAGAGGAAGAATGCAACAGTTTTGCCAGGGAAAATCCCCTCCCAGCCCAAGGGCCACTACATAAGGAATGCAATAAAAAAAAAAAAGGAAAACCAATTTTCCTGGAAAATGTCCCCGTTAGATGTCTGTGTGGGTGGGCAGGGGGGAATGGCGCGTGATTGGCTCAACTGAAATTCACGTGCCACCCGCTGCTATGGCCATAAACGGAAAGAAGTCACTCTGATTCGGCTGGCTGGAATGTGAAATGCCGTACGTACAACATGTCGTATACGCAATGCTTTTATTTGGGCCAATTTTTGCCTTGTTAGTTGGAGGGGAATGACTATCCAAGGACAACCAGCGTCTTGGTGACGCGCGCGTGTTTACACAGTTTTATATTGTTTTATTCCCCCATTGGACATCCTCCTGTCCCTTGAAATCGCTTGGTATCCCCTTGGAAACGCTCGGTTCCCCCCCAGATTTCTGCTGAATTTCCCTTTGGACACAACTTTTTTTGGTAGCTGTGCGTGGCAAAAGCTAATGTTGCAGATTTTGGAGCATTTGGCAAGGTCATCCATGGTGTGCTCTGTTTATTCTTCTATTTCCAAAGCAGTGCAGACCACGTGACGTATGCGTAATAAATAAAACGTAACGGTGTTCCTTTGGCGCGCTAAGGACAATTGTGTGGGCTCCTGGCACAAGCTTGTACACACCCCCGCGACACACATAGACACTCCCCCACACACATACAGATACAATCAAATACTAAAAAATCGATCAATAAAATAAAAACAAACGAATAAACAAACAAACAAAAGCAACAAACGAACGAATTTCGTTTCAATGTCTGCGACTTGACATTCAGCCAAGGCGGCGGCCACACTGCCACACTGGCACACTGGGACTGTGGCAGCCACTGCCAAAGCCAGTCGGCCAATCAATACGGCAATGCATCAATTTGTCATTCACGGTTCACCCATACTGTTCCGTTTCGTTGGGTTCCTCTTGTTGTAAATGCTTGCAACTTGTTTATTTGTTAGTGTTATTTTCTGTCTGATTGATAAGCAAAGAGTGTGGTGGGGGGGTCGCTGCGAATGGATCAAGCCAATGCGTTGGCGGGCTAAGGATAGGGCACCTCCTGACGCTTCAGTTGCACACACACACACACACAGCGCTTCTTGCCTTGTTACTTGTATTTCATTTGCAATTGATTGGCTCAATGTGGCAGCTGACGCTGAACGAGAGCTGCCAACTCTGGCCGGGATTGTAGCAAGGGGGGTGGGGCAGGATGCCACAGTACAGTTTGACATTCAACCAATTTGTTCGTTGCAGCTGCAAAGTGCATAGCAGTTAGCAATCTACGCGAGTATCTGTGGGGGGATTGGTATCTGGCAGGGAAAGGAGTCTCTCCCTACGAAAGGAGCATTTCCGTTTTGGCTTAGCCCACTCCCACATTGGCGGCAATTAGTTAGCACTAGCCCATGGCCACGCCCACCCATAAATATATATAAATCAAGGCGGCCACAGCCCACAACTAATTAGGCAATGGGCAGGGCCAAGATAGGAAACAAAAATTGCGATTTGTGTGCGTGAAGTATAGAAAGGGAAAATGGAGAAGCTAAGGGGACAAGGCAGTGGATCAGGAGAGCGTGAGTGGGAGGGCATCAGAGTGGGTGTGTCCATTTTAGGCCGGCCAGCGACTTGTTTTGTTTTTCTTGGCCGTGGCGACAATTATTTTTTTTTCTGGCGGCTAAAATGTTTTTCTTTACGTTTGGATAAATTTTGTTTTTCTGATACCTATCAACCCCCCCCAAAAAAAAAGCCGGGGTAGAAATGTGGGGTATGCATGTGTTTATTGAGTGCTCTAAAATGTGATGTAATAGAGGGTGCCACCACGAATAATCTACGTATAATATTTCTAAGGCTGTTTGCCCCTTCGAAATGAATTCAGAATTCTCTTGTTATGCTCTTCCAATAAACCCATTTGCATGAGTCTAAATTGATTGGCCGCAAAGCTTTGGCGCTTCTCTTTTTAGGGTATCTCTGTTGCTCGATTGCCCCTCAATCTATATATTTAGATATATAAATTTGTTGTTGTTGCTATTCCCGAGATGTTTAATTTTAGCCGGCGCACATTTGTTTGTCTCATCTTTGTTTTAGCCTTGTTTTGTGTGTTTTGTTGTTAAACGAAAGCCGCCAACGAGACCATTTTCACTCTCACTTTCCAAAAATTTCTATCGTGCCACAACGCAACGCGGGGGCAAAATGCGCACACGTTGCGGCCATAAATCATTGTGGATGATATACTTACGATAATAATATCTCAAGAAATGTGGGAATATTTTAAGTGTAAAAAATTCCTACAGTAATTAATTATTTAAAATCAAATTAGGGATTATTCGAACACCATCGGAAGGGTCAATGCGTAGCCTGCGGTGTCCAAGGACGAATGCAAACCTCCCCCGTTCTTCTATATGAATACCAAAGTGTGGAGTGCGGCAGCTGCAGCCATGTGTTGTTTTTTTCTGTTTTTTTTTATCGAGCTAATTGAATACGTGAAGCGAAACACAACACAAAAGCAGCAGGAAAAAAGAGAGAGCAGCAAAGAACGAAAGGATATAAAACAATTACACGTCACAGCTCATAACTGTAACTGGCTGCAGCTGCCACAAACGGAGGGGCAGCCAGCCACAGAGGAAGCAGCCGAAGCGGGTGAAGAGCAGGGCAGAGCAGCGCGTCATTTCGCATGTAAATTAGACTCCGACAAGCGGCAGCCTTGAAGTATGCTATGAAATTTTGCACTGGACACAGAGTGGAAGGCGGGGTATGTGTAGCATGCCACAGTCTTGTTGCCCGGTTGCCCGCTCATGTGTGAAAAATGGCAACTGTGTCAGCGCCCACACATCAGCAGCAGCACCAGCAGCAGCAGCACCAGCAGCGTCAATTGCATTATTCAGAAAAGGGTGCAAGAACAAAAGCCACTCGGAACGGAACAGAACGGATGGATGGGCGAATGGGTAGGTTCCCAGTTGATCCGAGAGAGTGAAGAAGAACGAGCCAAAGCAGACCCTTGAATTATGCAAAAGGCTTGAAGACCTTGAAGACTTTGCGGTGCACGTAATTAAATATGGTACGGAATGGGAAAAACCACCAACTGAATTCGAATACTCTCCCACCGCACAGAAAATGTAACGTGTGAAATTTCTCATTGTGTGATCGATAAAATGGTCTCTTGGCGGGAGGGAAGGTAGGGAAGGTCTTGGCTTGGGTTGGGTTGGTGCTTGTCGTCGCGTCCTTGAAGGCAAATTTACGACAGAATAAACAACTTGGCGGCAGCGGCCTGGCTCGGCCCAGGTCCGTGTCCGTGTCCTGGTCCTTCAGCGATAAGGATAAGGACACAACGCTCCTTTGGCGCGCAATTTTATGACAGAGCCAAAAGACAAATTGCCCATAAAATGTCAAAGTCAATAAAAGCAACAAAAAGAAAAAAAAAAGAACAGCAGCAAAGCAAAAGTGTGACGTGTGGTCCAGTGATACTCGTATCCTTGCAAAATCATAGTTAGAGCACCCATCTGTAGGGCATGGTATATGCGCCAACATATCCTGTAAATCCTGTCGGAGCCCACTGAATAAATTGAAATTTTCAGCAAACGAAATTTGCTTGGGAAATGATGCGCTCAGCCCCCGAGCTTTTCAGTATTTGCGCAAAGTCTTTGACTTTGGGGCCTAATCCTCCCCTGCCTTGCCCTACCCTGCCCTGCATTACCCTACCCCGGAATCATTCTTTGCATTGAGCTTTTCCAGCAGAATTCGCATTTTTCCTCTTTTCGCTTTTGGCTCTGCCTATTTTCGGTATATCTGAGCCAGCAGGGGGTAGTGAAAGAGGAACGCGGGACCCTTTACTCTCTTTTCGGGGTTGCTTGTGTTTTGCTTGGCTCTTTCTTGGATGCTTCCTTTTTTTGTATCTTCTTTTTGTTGCTGCTTCTTTCTGCTTTCTGCTTTTTTCTTGCTCTCTTTTGTGTTGAGGTAGGGTACGGCTGGAGTTGGAGTCAAAGCTTGTTTTTAGGAGGATGCTATCCCAAAAAATACAGTTCTTCATTTAAGGGAAAAATCCTTAACCACAGTACGCAATTTTCTGCATTTTGCAAAGCTTAAACCCCTAGGAGAACTTAGACCTTAAGTTTCCCAAATGTATAGATTTCTGACGTATGCTCACCTTTGACTTCTTGGACATATTTTTTATGGTTTAGCCCCAAAAATGTCTGTGATTTTTCCATTCAACTTTTTTTCAGTTTCCATTTGTTTAAATTATTTACTAATTTTTTGTTTTTTATTTGTTTGTTTTTTTTTTTTTGGTTTCTTGTATGTATGTATAATAACTATGATTATTTATAACATTTTTTTTGTCTGAACACTTTGTCTTTATCACTGTGGTTTACCCGTCTTTCTTTTGGCTGCAACAGGCAAGAACTATAAAATATCTAGATAAATGTGAATCCGGTTGGTGCTCAGGTGTTAGGTATCTAATCGTATTATCTATAAGAAGTTTTGCCGACAACTAAGCTGGCTTTGGATATGAGCCCATCCGATCGATCAATCAAATAAAATATATTTTAATTCATGCTAAATGAATGATAAATTATACTGTCTAAAAGGTATTTATCGTAGATATACGGCAACAATTTAAGCCCTAAAATGTTACTCCAAACATTAAATATTTCCTCTAGTTTTCACTTTCACTTTCCCTTGGGTTTTCCCGCACACTTTTCCATACACGTGCTCTCACTGAACTGACAATTTTCCAATGTTGTCATTAGCCTGGCTGCAAAATATTCGGGGGACCAGGACCACATGCAACTTTTTTTTTGCTTTACTTGTTGGCTTTTCTTTTGGCCTGGCTTTCGGCTGCTACCACTGCTGCTGGCTGCTTCAGCTTTAGCCTTCAACACACATACACTTCCACGGGCATAAGCACACCCACACTGGTACACATACACACACAGACACGAATAGCAGCACTCTCACAGTCACAGACATGTGCGCAGGTGTGTGCCTTGATTTTTCAATTAGTCTCTGGCTCGACCCATCATTTTCCACAGTTTAATTGAATTCCTTTTTACACGCTTTTTGCATAGACAATTTATGGGGAGTTTTCTGCAGTGTTTCTTATTTGGAAATTTTCTCTCTGGCACTTTTAATTGACCAAAAAAAAGGGAAACAACTTTTCCTGTTTTTAGCCAGAAACAGAAACAGAAAATTTTGTTTGCTGGCCGCTTGTGAGTCGCTCTGGGATAGTGTGTCTCTGTGTGTGTGTGTGTGTTTGTGTGTGGGTGATTATGGGTGTATGTGTATGCGCTGTGTGTGTTACTGAGCCTGTGTCTGTGTGACCGTTTCCAACAACAACAACTACTGAACGCGCCCGCGCTGCTGCTAGTGCTGCTGCTGCTGCTGCCGTTGCCGTTCCGTTCGATGCGTGCGAAGATGCGACGCGCTCACTGTCTGACTGGCGACTGGGGGCAGCCTGTGAGCACCAATACTGCTCCACGCCCAGAGAGGCACCAGCACCAGAGAGCTTGCCCAAGAGAGAGCGCGAGAGAGAGAGAGCGTCCGCAGCGTCGTCTAGCTGGAAGGCCGACTGCAACAACACGCAACAGGAAAGAAAAGAGCGGAGCAGAGCGCAAGCTTTCGCCTACTTTCAGCCAGCCCCGAAGCGAAGCTCTTGCTGAAAAGCTGCCGCCGACCGAAACGACGCGAAGCGATGCGACGCACATGGCATGGCATTTGTTTATATTTGTGGCAGGTAAAAATAGTACTGCATATTTTTAGGCAGCAGGCCTGAGTGCCCAGTGCGCATGCACGAACCACATACTGCTGTTTAATTCGATGCTAGTTTAATTCTTTCCACGGTACTGTATATTTTTGATTGAGTGTGCCAAAAGTTTGCTGATTTCACTTTGAATTTGTAAGCCACAAAATGTAGCTAAACCTCTAACTGGATCTTGACGGCGCTATGTGCATATGCATGGAGAGTTCGTCCACCTGCTGTTCCCGTTCGGACACCGAGGGCCTTAGGGACTGAAGCTGATCCATTTGCTCAATGAACGGACGTATGCCCTCCGGATTCTTCATGTACTTGGCCACGCTCAATATGATATGGCGATATATCTGATGATCCCTATAGGCGGCATTCGGGCGACGCTTTTGTGGGGGTCTAACAGGATACAGGTTTAGAATTTTGATTGGCTACATATTATGAGATTTAAGGGAGGATACCTCTCTTGGGCCCGCTGTATACCACGTAGACGTCGCGTCGACTCCATCTGGCGGCGGCGTTCGCAGTAAGCGAAATAACCGCAAACGAAGATGACCAGTGCGGACACCACGTAGATGAGCCAACTCCAGCCGAGGACGCTGCCAAAAGGAATGCCCATATAACATTAAGGAAACCCCTCCAAAATAAAATAATTACTTACGCCACAAATGTTTCATTCAAATGCTTCCACATGGGCGAAGTCTGTTCGCGCAGCTCCTTCTGCTCAACGGCACTCGGCCAGAACGAGAATGGAAACATAATCGGATCGGGTCGGGTTGTCTGACTTTTGGCTATCTTTCTCAATACGGAATCAATTTTGCCTCACAACAAATGTGTGCGTCGTCGTCTGTCTGTGTGTGTCCAGTGCTAAATTTTCATAATTCTGAATGTTTTCGTATGCTACGTTTGAGTGTTGACTGGAAGGCCTACTGTGTGTTTGTTTTTCGAGGAATGTTAGGCACGAGCAATGTGCCTCATCACATCTCAGGTGTTGCTGGTGGCTGGTTGGTTGGCTGCTGCCTTATCCTTAACAACCTGGAAGTTGCGCTTTACCCCGATCCGCTTAATACGGCGCCAAGGTTAGCGATCTACGATCTGTGATCAGCGATCGATTGCTTGGCACATCATCTGGATATTTCTAGTTGCAATTTTCGCCTTTGTCTACGAGTCGTCTACGTTTCGTTTGTGCAATTTGCAATGGCAATTCGTGCGCTTCCGTCAACTGTGTCCGCTTGTTGTTCGTCTGGGAAAAGCGTGATCATATAAATTATGGGTACGAGACGGAGACCCCTCCACTGCCCCTGCCCCTGCCCCTGCCCCAGCCCCTGCCACTGCCATTGACAGTGTCAAAAGAACATTTTCACAAATTTGTTGGGAAAATTTGCCTGGCGCTTGACACATTCGTTGCGGATTTATGGCCATGTCTCTTGGTCGAAATTCTTTACTTTTGCGCCTTCCCCCTTCCCCTGGAAGTGACATTGCATATTGCCCCAAATTGAGGCAGCGCGCGCGCGTGCGCACGATTGTTGACCAGCGCCCAACCCAATCCACAAAACTCCAATCGAAGCCCCAACCAAACCCCAGATGCAAGGCATGGATAATGCATGACAGGGCGCCCTGAAAATTACGATCTTTACGAACCAGAACCATGCCACAAATCTGCTGACACATGGCTGCCAAGAACTGAATCGAATTCTCCAATGAAATGAAATCTTGGTCTTTAAGGCAGTTTCTTAAGCGCTTAACTCTCGTCCAATATCTAAGATCTCACGCTGATAATTTGAATTTCATTCATGCCATCACCCACCCGAGGATCCATTAAAGTGGACACAGTTTGGGGACTCATCAAACGGCTGTCAAATTACCTAAACACCCAATGAAACGATGCCATGGCGCATCCGATCTGAGCCGATGATGATGAGTAACCCACACGAAATGCTAATGAATTGTTATCAGTTAATTGTCGGCATTGGGGGCTCCGCGCTGTGTTGCTTTGTTATCAGCCTTTTTTCATGCTTTATTTGAATTCGATTTGGAGATGCCACGCAGACGCGTGGGTGTTCCAGCCGTCTGGGCCCCGTCCCCACTCAAGTGGCAACTAATAGCCCAATAAATTGTGATATGCGTATAAAGAGAGAGAGAAACATAAGAGAGAAATACATTTGTAAAAGAGGGACTAAGCGAACTGTCAAAGCCCGGCACATTATTCGATTTATGACCAAAGGCAATGGTCAGCAACATGGCAACCAGTTTCTGGGGATGCTTCAGCGCGCGCAGGAGCAAATCCTTTTGACATGTCCAATGCGACCAGATCGGCACATTCCGTACCTTTTCCAGTGGGTAGCGTAGCTATTCCTAATACGAGTAGTAGTTGTACATAGCATTGGCTGGTGGCTGTGGCAGTAGCGCTTTTATGACGACAGCGACAGATTCAGGCAGGCAGGCAGGCCGGCAGGCAGGCGGGCACCGAATATGGTCAGAAGGGCCACAAACAAGTTCTGTGAAAGATCAGCGGGCCATGCACTAAACTGGATGCCGCCGTAGCGACGTCTGCCCCTGGCCGCAACGGGTAAATATTTAACTTCACAACTTGCCACCATCTAAAAACGAAGAAGAGCCAACATAAACGAAACGGCAGCAGCAACGGCAGCAGCAACAGCAGACCATAAAAAGCATAAACCGCAAAACTCCAAAATTAGAGATGGGCAGAGGTCAAGAAAAACCAGAATTTCCGAAAGAAATACAAAACATTTTTGAATGAATTTACGAGAGAGAGCAGCGTGGCGATAGCTGTGAATGAGACATGAATGATCCGAAAAGGATTCAATAGTATTAGGAATTTTTATCACAGAATTATAATCAAATAGGATGTTCAGATATCTTCCCATTGTATAGTTTTAATCCTCTGCATTGCACGGAGCACGCCCCATCTCTACACCTCAAACTGGAGTTGTTGCAGCTTCCAGTGTAGGTGGGGGCGCAAGCAACGTATAAACAAAACAGCTGTAACGCACTCAAACATCAGCGATGATCGGATCGTCCCCACGACCGACCGACCGACCGTCCGACCGACCAGTTCTACACACCTCACTCCCCCGTTCAATTTATTGTAAGCGAGCCGAGCCGAGATCTTGGGGGCCCGAACGCACAGCACAGCAGAGCACAGCCGGAGCACAGATCGTTAACTGGACTTTCGGTTTCGGCTGTTTCGAATCGTTCAGTTCGTCTCGGAACTTCTAAGCGATCGGTTTTGTGTGTGCTCGTGTTCGCTCCGCCGCGCCCAAAGAAGATTTCGAATATATCAAATATCGAACGAAATTTTGTTGTGTCGCATTGGCATATACGGGAAGCAAGCAGCTACCGCCAGAAGAAGCAGAATCTGCAGACGAGGAGCAATAATCCTCAATAAATGTTTATAAATATCACTTAAGAGCGATCCCCCATCCCCCACGAATCAATTCACAATTTTACATATAATTTATTCAACAAAAAGCCATGTGCCGAGTATCTGGTTAATGTCAGCGCGAAAACTCAATTCGATTTATGGTTTGTGATTGCAAATTTGACATAATTGTGTTTTTTGATTTATTTCTTATTCGTATTCGAATTCGTATCCGTATCTGTGTGTAAAGCATCTTTAAGTGGCGCATCGCAACAAAATCTGACCACGATTATCGCACAATACAACAGGGAAAATCTTTATTTTTCCCCGCGGGTAGACACTGGGAATTTGTGTAAGTCGAATGCAAATATTTTATAATTAATTGCAATTATAAATGTATGAATTGAATGTGTGTCAGGCAACGCGCGACATTTCCTAGTACATTAATCTTGCTCAAAATCTCATTTCTTGTTGTTGCTGCGCGGGAGGAGTGGGGAGAGAGGGGAGTGGAGTGTTGCAGAGTGGGGACTCTGGGCATAGGAGTTACTCGAGTGCTTATAGCTTTAATTTGCATTAAGTGTCGCTGCCGTCTACGCTGACTCTGACTCCATTAAGCATCTATCGGTTAATGGGTCTTGACTCTAATTATTCAATTTTCTTTGAAATGTCAAAGGTTTGCATATGTAATCTGATCTTAAAGCACGTACGTTTAAATGTTCTTATAACTCATTTGAATGCATTTCATAATTGAATTTTAAATATGTTAAATTTCAATGCGATGAAAACAAGTAAGAGTATTTTGAATTATATCTTAATGAGATGGTATCTCTTTAACTGAATTTTCTGCAGCACTTTGCATGGTAATTCCAATTAAAAATTAAACAAAGTTTAAACTTTATTTTTATCTTAATAGTTAGCTGATTAGTAATCTTCTTAGTCAAGCTATAATTTCAATGAACAATTCATTTCGAAGCTGATAAAAAGGTAAAATGTTTCCTCTAAAGAAAAAACATCTTACAAAAATATCTTCATTTAATCTGCAGACTGTCAGTGTACCGAGTATTAATTTTAATGTCCCCAAAGTCTCTTCAATATTATCTTGAAATCCTATCAAAACTTTGAATAAATATGCGTTTTATTATGTGACAAAATCCAAAAATTGAAATGCACAATAAATGTGCGCATATTTTAATCAAACAATTTCTTTGTTGTCCATAGCTTATGAAACTTATGAACTACGACATTTTGCATTGTTCAAATATATATATTTTAGTATGCATTTTTGTAATGCATTGCTTGTACATTTTGACACATGTTGCAACTGCACAGTGCAAGTGTACAATCAAAATTTGCAGTCTAGGGCACGATTTCACCCTATTGGATCGTGCCCGAAGTGCATATCATAATCCACCAGCAAATATTATGACAATTCTCAAACAAAAATAGGGGAATCCGTGGTGCGGACTACGGGCAGTACTCAAGTCAAATGATTTAGCCATTGCTTTCCGGTTTTCGATTTTTTCTTGGCTTTTCTAATTAGCCAAAGTCATTTGCATAAATTACGCAGCTAACGGTAACTGGGTTTATGCCTTTTGTCTGGCGTCCAGTCCAAGACCTGGGTCAGGCTCTCTATGAGCTATGGGCCGTGAGGTAGGCGTAGGCGTGGCACCGCCACCGGACGCCCCCTTGCAGCTGCAAAGCAATTAGTAAAAGACTGGACATGCCAACAAATTGTGAGGCCCGTTGTTGAAGTCTTTTTTTTCTGCCGTACTCGAACCCCGTGCCCGTACTTGTATTCCTTTTTTGGACCGTTGCATTTGTTATTGAAATGAGTTTTCGCATTTGAAGTCGCAGTTGAACTTGTCGGGCGTTCGTGGGGAGAGGGAGGGTGGTGGTGTCCAAATGTCAAACTGTCGATGTTCAACATGTTGCGTATAGTTTTCGCTTTTCGCTCTCTGTCTGTCGTTTTCGCTTTTCATTTCTGACTCTGCGCAAGAGGAAAGAGGAAACAAAACAACAAAGGCCAAAAGCCATGCCGAAAGACTTGGAACACATTCCTTTAATTGGACTGAAAGTACAGTGTAAACAAAAGGCATTCGAACGATTTGAACCTCCTGGCCGGCCTCCCCTTTCCACTACTCCCCCAGCAATCACGGATGAGGAAAGTCAGCTTGTTGATCTTGTTAAAAAAAAAACATTAAAGACATTAAAAACTTTAAAAATAAAAAAAACATTAAAAGAAGACAGAACCCGAAGGGCTACCCGAAGCTTCAGATACCCTTGCCGATTTATAGATGAAAAATATTTAATTTAAGGAAATATATTCAGTTTAAATATGAAAAATATTTAATATAAATATTTTTATTTAAATGTCAAAATGTAAGTGTATTTCAGTGATTTTTTCTCTGTGTGTACAATCTTGTAATACCCTCTTTAAGGGTAAAGAAAGAAAGACGAAACGTCAAGAGAGTAAACGAGATACAAACGCTGGGCAAATGTGTCATGATTTTGCATATTAAAGACAGCGACACACGATCAACAAAACAAAAACACAGCAGAGCAGAGCAAAGACGAGCAGCCATGTGAAATATACTATCAAATAGCCGGGACTCGGACTCTCTGACACACACTATTCACAATCTGTGCTGGCCATGATTTTGTAACCTTCTCTCTCCCAGTGCCTGCCCCGTGCACCGTACCCCGTCAGAGCTGTCCGAACTGTCGTGGGAAAACGGAGACGAAAACGTCAACAAGAACAACAAACAAAGCTGTGGAATGAATGAAATGTGTAACCCCCGTCGGCACCCTCCTTGTGGCATGTGGCAAATATTTGGCAATCTGACAGATAAGATACATTCGATAATCCCCCCAACACGATCGGTTATTGAACCCCAGAAGCTGGCGGGCGTGAAAATTATAGCAAGCTCTGGTGGGTGGCCACAGCCCCAACGCTCCAACGCTCCAACGCCCCACACACCCAGCGGGTGAGATCGGACATCTAATGCGGTCGCGCGAACTGAAATCTTCCTTAGAGATCTGAGACATTTTACAGCCAATCTCCGCTGTCTGATCGGCTGGGGGGTAATGTTAATGAAAGCAGCGTTGAAAAATTACACAAAAAAGAATTCAATTCTTCTTTGGGTTGCCATAAAAATGGTGCTGCTGCTGCTGCTGCTGGCGGGAGAGTTACCAAACAGCAGAGTTCTCTGGCTGCTGCTGCTGCCCCGAGGCGGCGTTAAGCTCTTAGTTTATCTCTTTATAAGAACTTGAGGAGCGGCCTGCTGCTGTTGCTCTGTTTTGTTCGGAGATTACACAAAACATACTCGGACTCGTAAATAAAAACGCATGCCAAAGTGGCAGCTGTTTGGAATTGCACAAAAAGGGCCAGCCCCAGCCAGCCACAGTCGGGCACTTAATTAACATTTAAATGGCAGACCGGCAGAGAGAAGTATCTGGATGCTGTAGCTCTTTAAATTACATTACACCAAAAATACTTATACTTTCCTTTCCACCAAATGATGAACAATTTACACACCATTCAGCCAAAAGCGAATGTAAACAGGTTGAGGTGCAAGGTGCGGTTGAAAGATCATTCAAATAAGAGCCAGAATTTCAGGCACTTCCATAATGCTTGCGATAATTAACTAATTAGCTAAATGCAGCAGCAGTTTTAGTGCTTTAGTCATGGACACCCCTCCACAGCCATGATTAATGGTGAATGCGAAATGTTGTATTATTAATAAAACTAAAATGGGGTGGGTGCTCTTCTCCTCCACACCACAGCCTTTCCGACTGTCTGGTCTGTGGCACAGCCATTTCCTATGACAACCAAAACATGTCGAATAAGACATGGGCAATGTTTCTGTGGATGAGGATCATTTATAGACTCTGCAAACAGGGGTTATTCGATAAAAGGGAAATGTGGAACTATCTGTACAGCTAGGAGCTGACAATAAGCAGTGGAGTATGCTTACAGCAAAATACAGACACGCTTTATGGAAGCAAAATATCTTGTGAGATCTGTAAGAATAAATAAAAAATGTTTCAGTATTTAAAATTATAACACATATAAATGATTAAAAATAATATTAAAGATTGTTCCCCTTCAGATACGAGTATTCTTCTTCCTTTCATAAAATATTTTAAGTACAATATTTTGGCCTGCCCTTAGAGTGAGATTTATTTACTGTTATGATAAATACTCCAAATGGTCGGAGATCTTTAGCTCATTTCGTGCGTTCCCTGTACTTGGAATCAACAACTTCCAACCTCCGCCTCTGCTCTCATACTATTTCTTTGATATATGTACGTCTGTTTCACGCATCTCTCGTGATTCATTGGCCATTGCTCATGTCTGGGTCAGCTCACTCACTGACAAGCAGCACGCACACAGATACAAAATAAAGATCCAGAGATACTTGCACCCACAGCATCGTTTGGTGTGTGTCTTGCGAGGCTGACAAAAATAAAGTTGACACTTTCCCCGCAGAGGAGGAGGATGATGATGATGCGGATGCTGCTTAGAGCGTCTGTCCACGCCCTGCAGATATTTGTTCTGTGATTTATGTGCTGGGAAAACAAATCAATAACATTTAACACACACTAATTTCTAGATACTCCGAACCCACACAAACACTGATACAGATACAATCCCACTCCTTGGAAATTGATGGGGGCAGCGGCAGCCTTTGCATAATTTCCAGCTAAACTGCGACCGAAACTGCAACCGCTACCCGAAAGTTGATTTATTTGTGATTCTTAAGGCATTGCCCATGCCCCCCAGCTATTAATTAGAGATATATCAAAATATTGCCGCTGATCGGCCAATAGTGGGTTGGCCAGACTCCATCTCCACCTTCGGGGGCTCCATTCGGATTGATTTATCTCTGGGCTGACCGTTTTTGGCAAGTCGGCAAGGTCAAGGCAAGTTGTCAACTCCGCAGACTCTCTAAGGCTGAACTGCTGGACTTGGCTTAGATTTCCGCGGAATAAAAATATTTTTTTGATTTTTTTTCTCATTTCTGTGTGCCGTTTGTTTGTCTGCAGTCTTGATTAAGCTTGATGGCGGCGCCCGCAAACCTTTTTATCATTTTTGTTGGTTTCATTTTTCAGCTTTTGCATTTCTTGGAACTTTTTTGAGAGTTATGACAACTGGTGGCGGAAGGGCAGGGTCTGGAGATGGGTCTGGCTGGACATTTGAGTGGCAGTCGAAGAGCCCGAGTAGGAGGAGGAGGAGCAGGCAGTCCCAGGGTTTCACTTACTAAGCCGAGCTTAAGGCCGCACCTGATGGAACCATTGAAATGCAGCTCCATTTTCGGGTCAGCTCAGACTTACATTTCTCAATATTTTTTGGTCTTTCGTTCACTGTTTTTTAATTAGCGCAGCAAATGTTAATTATGTCTCAGCGGCTGTCATTGAAAGCCATCAAAAGTCTTATGTCGAATGCTCCCAATTGCATGCATAAATTGGGTACAGGGAAAGGGAAAGGGAAAGCATAGCCCATGCCCATCCCCGAACATGTGTTAGATCCACTTTAATGATCCACGTCGGGGCAGGGGGTGGGTATGGGTTGCACCCCGTTATCGTAAATTCAAGTTAAGGCAATGAATATTAATAAGCAGCTCTCTCGCTGCGCAGCAATTGCAATAATAATTGTTTTTTGTGCTGTTGTTTTATTTTTTTGATGCTGACAAATGATGCCATGAGGCCACAGTTCCCTGGCCCCACGATTCCGCAGTGCGTACATTATTGATAAATGTGTAAAAAGTGCCAGAAAACAAAGCGCAAAATTGATGCCGACTTCCGGCTTCAGTTTTTGTTTTTGTTTTTTTGGCAGCAGTAGCGGCAGCAGCTCCTGCGGGTTAACTGTTGAACTTGTGATTTATCAGCCAGAACCACATTAAGCAGAACAAACAAGAATACTCGCCATAATCAGAGTGTCAGCGTCAGCTGTACAAATTGCCTTTGTCTCTGTCACGAAAATGCGAACTTGGGTAGTGGAAATGTTGAAAGTGTTGACCACTCGACCATGAACAGCGCTGGCCCCCATCAGGAAGCAGGAGCAGGGGCCAAACAGACGGTACCTGAATACCCTATAAATAATACCCTCAAAGCGAGTGCAAAAAGTATCCAACTAGCAGCAATCCTGATTCCTAGATGGTCGAAGAGAGTATCAAAGTGTCGGGGTGACAGGTGGAATGGTAGAATGGTGGGGTAGGCAGGATATTTCTTGTTAATACATTTATGCTACCTTTCAATTACGAGTGCACGCGATGATGGACACTCAGAGCGACCGACGCACAGACAGATGGACAGACAGGTCGGTCGGCAGGTTTGAGAGAGACAAAGGAATCCATAATGAGATCCAAGTGGATCCGTCTTCTTGCTTACATTAAATGCAAGAAGCGTGCAAAATGCCTAGGAATCCGAAAGAGAATGAAAGTGAATGGATATTCACAGGGAGGGAGGGAGGGAGGGAACTTGTTCAGCTACTTAATAAAGACATACCCGTTTGCTTGTCTTCCCTCTTTGCAGTTGCATTAACCCGCCGAATCAGCGGCACCAAGATGACGCACTCCAGTCCGACTTTAAGCTCCGCTTTGCTGCTCTGCTGCACAGTTATGCTGCTGGCGACAGCGGCATCAGGTATACAGAACAGAACCAACAGCAGCAGCAGCAGACCCACCAGCACCGCCAGAGTACAGGCCCATCGAGGGCATGGCCATCGACAGCGACACCATGCGAGTCCCATGGTAACGACACATCAGCGACAGTCCCGCCGAATGCAGTTGGCCAATCAGGCCAAGGCGGAGGTGGAACTGCTGCCGGGTGTGACCATGCAGGAGGTCACCCGACTGCGTCGCATCCATCCGCATAATCCCTACAACAAGGTACTAACGCGTCGCCTGCACCAGCAGGGCGTGGCTGGTCGTCCCACCGAGTGGGACTACAACACCTACAACATCTACACGAATACCTTTGGGCCGCCACCGCCGCCGGTTCCGCCGTCTTCGCCGCACTCTGGCAAGGGGGAGGACAACACCCAGGATGTGGAGTTCATTGGGGTGCGAGACCGGGGACGTGGCTACAACTATGTGCCATCTGTATCCGTGAGCAGCACCACTGCACCACCACCACCACCGCCGAGCCTCAATCGCCGCTCTGCCACTCCGAGCCTGAGCAGCATTGGCACCATTCCGCCACTGGTTCCGGCCAGGCGGGGCTATGTCTACACGACGACGGCACCCACGACCAGCACGACATTCACATCCACTGTGACCACGGAGGATCCCTACGAGACGAACACAATTGGACGCAACTATCCCACAGATCCCAAGGAGATGGAGAGGTAAGTTTAGGAATTTTCTATTCCTCCTTAATTAATTAAAAAGAAGATCAGCAGCCACAAGCCGATCAAATAGTTTGACCTTTCCTTTTGGAAGGTTCATTGAAGGTTCCCTAGAAGAATAATGCTTTCGGGTCACACCCCTGCGGAATTTGAGTTGAAGATGAAACTGAAGATGGAGATGTCGGTGCGATCTTTCAGCGGCATTGGGCAGCTGGGCGTTTCCGATTGCATTTATCAGAGCCAGAGCCGGAGCGAGACCCCCCATCCCTGGTGGTTCAAGGTTGCTGCAGTCATAAATAAATATTTCCAAAAGCCGGGGTCCCAGCATCAGCTTTACCTTTGGCCCAAAATCAGCCTCGGTTTGGGATCTGGCGCTGGCCCCCTGCCTCTGTCGCGCTGCGGCTTATCGCATCGAACATAAATTATTTAAATATTTTGACAAGCCGAGAGAGATTTCAATGTCGATTCAGCAGCAGCAGCAGCAGCAGAAGCAGCTGCGCTCCGCTCTGCGCTTCGGTGCTAATTTGCGGCCCAGACCAAATGCCATGGCAAGCCAACAACTGGCTGGAAATTAGCCCCAAGGCCAAGTGGCACCAGAGCCACAGCCAGTCGACGATCACTTCACATCCACTGCTGCTCTGCGGCGGCTCCAATTGTCGTGTGTCAATTGTGCAGCAAATCAATGAGGCGCGCACTTGAATGCCCATGCCCCCATACCCACCTCCATACCCGTATCCGTGGCTGTAACAATTGCAATTGCAGCAGCTCCTTAAATGTACCAACTGCTCTCGTACGAGTACGAAGTACTCGTGGGCAATTGTTGTAGTGGCTGTGTTGGTCGTGTCTTCGTCCGCGATCTGGCCAAGATTGTGTGGCTGCCCTGGCATTGACTTGTCGCCTTCATTGTGGCTGTGGTGGCTGTCAGTCGCTTTAAGGTAATGAACTTTAACGAGTTTTCAATTGCCAGTCCAGTGCTGATGTTTTCTAATTGGAATTAATGTGCCTCTACTTAAGGGCAAAGGCATGCCAACCAACCCATCCAAACCCATCCAACAATCCCACAATCCCAGACACAGCGGAAACGCTGCGTATGCGCAATCTCAACCAGCGCGGAGCACTGGCACTGGCAGTGGCAGTTTGCAATGTTGTGTTGTGGCTCTGGCGTTGCAAATTATGACACATTTTGATTTATGCGGCAGCTGCCAAAATGCTGCCACAAGGCAAATGCACTGCCTAGCATCATCATTCATACCCATGGGCCTCGCACCATTGCAGTTACAGTGGTGCAGATGTGGCAGAAACTTGAGCCGCACCGCCTCTCAGTGGATAATTTAATGGATGATTTTTTGTTGTTGGCCAATTCCCATTTGCCATCCATTCCTATTCCTTTTTTCCCACTGTTTCTGCATGTAGGCGCTGCTGCCTTGCCTCTTTTCTATTTATTTAAGCACTGCACGTGCAGCAGCAGCAGCAGCAGCAACTGCTGCAAGTGGCGCATTGCAACAGAGTCTGTCCAGTCCATATGGAAATGACTTCTCATGTGGATTGGCTTCAGCTTTGGCTTCTCGTTTCGTTTTGGTTATTCACACGCCGCCATCAGCACAGATCTGCAATGGTACTGCTACTCCTCCTTCTCCTTCTTCTCCTCCTCTTCTCTGTGCTACCTCTTTTTGCCCCACCACCCCACCACCCCCTTGAAAGATCAGACCTGGTTAATGGCCAGAGCAACGATTCAATTGCCAGTCCAACTGCAGACCGGTGTTAATCAGCGTTATAGCCGCCGATTGCTGTATAAAAGTGGAGTTAAGTCATTTCCCCCCACAGTGGGGCAAGTGCTTAAGGCAGCTTTACATTTAATTGCAACTCTCAGAAGCGAGTAATATTTATATCCACATATTTGTATACCTCAAAATCTGCTGCCTCAGATCTGATGTACGTTGATCCACTGTAGCTGCCGCCTGGTCGTTGGGCTTCTGTTTGATGATTTCAATTGATGTCTGCACTGTGCATGTGGCATGTGGCAGACAATTTGTTGTTGTTGCTGCTGCTGCTGCCACACTGACAATTGATTGATGTCTGTTTTTTTTTCGGGCTAGCACCACTCAATGATTGACTTTTGATTTGCGATTGCGGCGGTTGCAACACCCAAAACGCAACCGATCAGCCGATCAACCGATCTAAAACCGGAGTTAATGAATTAATTATACATTCCAAATCGAAGTGGAGTGGAGTGGAGGAGGAGGTGGGAGAGGTGTTGATTCAGGGAGGGCACTACCTGTGTGTGGGCGTGGCCAACCAGCGCTTAAATGCCACTTGCACCGACCAAAACTTGCAATCTTTATCTTTCGAATAGTATCTACCAAAGCTGAAGTTCCACACAATAAAAATCGAAAACAAAGCAGGGCCTTGACTTCAATCGCTGCTATGGACACAAACAGCATAACAGCATAAAAATAAAAGCCAATAGCTACAAACAATTGGCAAAATGTACAATAAAATAAAATGAGACAAGAGCCAAGGAGAGTTATGTGCACTTTAGCCAACTCTGTGACCCTAACAAGAGGCAAAGAACGCAGACGCAAACGCAGGCATAGACTCCAACTCCGACTCCGAGTCCGACTCATACGCTGCCACAGACAGGGGCACACGGGCACAGGCGCATGCGCAGCTGGATGCGGAGTCAGGGTTTGTAGTCCGCCTGCAAATTGCTTGTCAACGATCGAACCCCAGCTTAGGCTCTGCGATAATTATGGGATAGCGAGAGAGAGAGAGAGAGAGGGAAAGGGAGAGGAGGGTACTGGGGGCACGCCACTCGAGTGCGAGTGACGAATGATTTGATATGCTGCGCTTGGAAAAACTGCACTTAGAATGCGGCTGCAGCCTGTGAAAATTCGTTAACATTTTGCACCGTGAAGCATTGTGCTCAATGGCTACGCCTACGCGTGCCTAACCGCACTCCCACTTGGAGCCGAGCTCTGGTCTGGTCTGGTCTGGTCTCGTCTGTTATGGTCTTTGGCCTGGTCTCAGTCTCTGCTGGGGCTTATCCAAGTCATGCCATCAGCGCAGACCCAGGCCGACAGCAAGGGTAAACCTTGGCCCAGGCTTCTGCCTTCTCGGTTAATGAGTTTTTCTTGGGATTCGATGGGAAAACAACATACATACAAACAAGTACCCGTGCATGGAGGCATGTGGGAGTTCAACAGGCAACAGGCAACAGGCTAAACCCTGTACACGTGCTCATCAAAAATCAGCAGCAAGAACACGACATGGATATGACATCAATTGAACAAATTGCCTGCCTGACAAATGCAACAACAAAAATGTCGCTTGTATCTCAATATTCGTTTTAATTAAGATGGATTTCTTTTGACGGAGCTGAAAGCTGATTGAAAAACAAGGGAAACCTTTATTGAAAGAAAAGTATCTAAATGTAAAACCAATTTGTTGACCTCTTTTTTCCTCCGCGTCATTAGTCATGGTCATTGTCACTGTAAATGGCTGAATGTGGTGCACCTTTTTGGGGTGTGCATTCGATATGCATATAACAATTTATGGAGCACAGATACGTATGATATGGGTCACAGATCTAGAGGAAATATTTGTTACCATTTCTGTGTGGAGTGTGACATGTATGTAGGTGTATCACATTACCAAATGAGAGTTTTTGTTTTATTCTACTATAACAAGGGCGGGTTATCAATCAATGTGTGCTGTATCTGCAACCAGAGAAAAAATATACACCCTGAAATTGTACCATTTACACTTGCATTTAAATATTATTACCAACAGATTTGCTCCGAAATTAGATTTAAAAATTTTCTTATTTAAATTAAATATTTTCTTATTTAAATTAAATATACATATTTAATTAAATATTCTTTTGTACTTAAAACCAGAATATTTAATTTAAATATGGGTGTGTTCATTTTTTTAGCTTGCCATTTTTCTCTGAGTGTATATATTCAAACATTTTCTATGACTCTCTTAACTTTTCCATAAAGTAATTTTACAGTCGAAAGTTAAAATCCAAGTCATATTTTTACTTACAATAATTACGATCTGTTGGACACCATTGACGCTGCAAATATGTATCTATATCTATGCGTCTGTGGCGCTGACACAAACAATCATAAACATGAATGCACTAAATGAATATGTAAAGCAAAGACCAATTCATGGTATAAATTTACGCGTATTGTTCGGTTCTGTGCCTGGGCGTGTGTGCAATTAGTGAGTTTTTCACATAAACACAAGTAAGTCACTCAAAACATGAATTGGACACCGGACAGGGGACAGTTTGGACAGTCGTTCCGTCCCGTCACAATGGAACTGCAGCAGCAGCAGAGGTGGGCCGCCGCTGCACCGTAATTTGCAAATCACGCAGCTTCGCATCTCAAGTTGAAAATTGGGTTAATGCAATGCTGGGGAGGCAGACAGACAGACAGACAGACAGATTACATGTAAACCCGTTCTGGAAGACGGGGAATACGGTGAGGCGGTGGGGCGGTGGACTGGGTGGCGCTGTCTCTGCATTGCTTTTGTCTTGCAGCCCCACTACAAAAGACAACAAAACTGTGTGAGTGCCACACACGAGGCATGAGCCACGAGTGCACGAACCCCCCAAAAAGACCATGCCATAACATGACGCACAAAATTCCAGCCATATATGCGATACACTGCAAGAAAAGAAAAGTTAGTGCATCTGAATCATAAATTCCATTTTAATGTCTTGGAATATCAATTGAAGTTTATAGCATTTTTCATCCTATATTTCTTCTGGGGCAGTGTTATTAATGTTTGGTGATTCATATGCTCGCATCTTCTTGGGGGTTCAATTAGTCGTTCATGGGTTCTCCCAGTAAAAAAGAGTCCATGGCATCCCCATATAGATTGATGACTCTGGAGTTGGTCATGCTCTTCGATTGATTCATATGTTCTGCAATCAAATTGCACTTAACTTGATTAAAGAAGATGGAGAAATCTTCCTCGAAAGTTTGGAA